GATAGAGAGAGAGAGAGACTATGGAGAGAGAGATATATAGAGATATAGACATAGAGATAGAGAGAGAGAGATAGATAGGATAGAGTAGATAGTGATAGAGATAGAGATAGAGAGAGAGAGATAGACAGACAACACACATATAAACAAGAGAGATATAGACACACACACCACACACAGAGCACACATCACACAACACACACACACTCACCACCCACACACACACACAGAGAGCGACGAGAGAGGAGAGAGAGGAGATGGAGAGAGAGAGTAGAGAGAGAGAGAGAGGAGAGAGTAGATAGAGATGGGGGGGGGGGGGGAGGGGGGGGAGGGGGAGAGAGAGGAGGGGAGAGAGAGACAGATAGGGGAGAGATGAGGGAGAGAGAGAAAGAGATAGAGAGACAGAGAGAGGGAGCTAGAGAGAGAGGTGGGGGGGGGGGGGGGGTGGGGGGGAGAGGGGGGGGGGGAGGGGGAGAGAAGAGGGCGATGAATGAGACGAGAGAAGAGATGAAGAGATAGATAATAGATAGAGAGAGAGAGAGAAGAGAGAGAGAGATATAGAGCGGAGCGAAAGAGAGAGAGATAGAGAGGAAGAGAGATGAGAAAAGATGAGGGAGAGAGAAAGAGAGAGAGAAAAGAGAGAGAGAAAAGGAGATGAGAGGGAGGGGGGGGGAGACGGGGGGGGGGGGGAGAGGGGGGGGGGTGATAGAGAGAGTAGATAGAGACAGTGGAGAGAGAGAGAGAGAAGATAGAGAGAGAGAGAGAGGAGAGGAGAGAGAGTCTTAGAGAGAGGGAGAGAGAGGAATGAGAGAGAGAGAGAGGGAGAGATAGAGGGAGCGGGTGGAGAGATGAGACGGAGAGAGAGAGAGAGAGAGAGATAGAGTAGAGAGAGAGAGAGACGGAACGAGAGATAGAGATGGTACAGAGATAGAGAGAGAAGAGAGAGAGAGACAGAGAGAGAGAGGGAGAGGAGAGAGAGAGAGATAGTACGAGAGAGAGAGAGAGAGCGAGAGAGAAGAGAGAGAGAGAGAAAGAGAGAGATAGAGATAGACAGAGATAGGAGAGACGAGAAGAGAGATTAGAGGCAGAGAGAGAGAGATAGAGCAGACAGAGAGAGAGAGAGAGAGAAGAGCAGAGAGCAGAGAGACACACACACAGAGACACACAGAGAGAGACACACACACACCAGTACATGACACACACACACACACACACACACACACACACACACACACACACACAACACACACCCAAAACAGAGAGAGAGGAAGAGAGAGATAGAGAGAGAGAGAGAGAAGAGAGAGAGAGAGAAGAGAGGAGGGAAGAGGGGAGAGACAGAGAGACAGAGAAGAAAGAGAGAGAGGAGAGAGAGGAGAGAGAGAGAGATAGACAGAGAGAAAGAGAGAAAGAGAGAGAGAGGAGAGAGAGAGAAGAGAGAGACGAGATTAGAGAGGAGAGAAGAAGAGGAGAGGAGATACAGACAGCAATGAGAGAGACAGAAGAAGCGAAAGAGAGACAGAGAAAGAGACAGAGACAGATGACAGAGAAAGAGGGACAGGAGAAAGGAGACAGAGAAAGAGAAGAGAAATGAGAGATAGAGAGGAAGAGAGAGATATAAGATGAGTAGAGCAGAGAGATAGAAGATAGAGAGAGAACCTACAGAAGAGAAAGAGATAGAGAGAGAGAGAGAGAAGAGAGTAGAGATAGAGAGAGAGAGAGATAGAGAGCGAGAGAGAGATGAGACAGATAACATGAGAGACAGAGGAAATAGATACAGAGAGAGAGAAAGAGAGAGACAGAGAAGATACATAGAGATACAAGAGATAGACTGTATATAGATAATGATAGAGAGAAGAGAGAGAGAGATATCTAGATAGAAATAGAGAAAATATAGACACATAGAAACATGAGACAGAGAGAAAAGATAAATCGAGACAGACAAGAGTAAGAGGAGACGGATAGATATAGAGATATATAGATATATAGAGATGTAGACAGATATATACAGAGAGAGAATAGATACACAGAGAGATACATATATATATATATACATATATATACATACATATATATACATACATATATATACATACATATATATACATACATATATATACATATACATATACACATACACATACACATACACATACACATACACATACACACACACACACACACACACACACACACACACACACATATATAACATATATAACATATATAATATATATATATAACATATATAATATATATATATATAACATATATAATATATATATATAACATATATAATATATATATATAACATATATAATATATATATATAATATATATAAATATAATATATATATATATATATATATATATATATATATATATATATATATATATATATATATATATATATGTCATATACACATATGATATATATACATATATAATATATATACACATATATATATACACATATAATATATATACATATATAATATATATACAAATATATAATATATATACACACATATAATATTTATACACACATATAATATATATACACATATAATATATATACACACATATAATATTTATACACATATATACACACATATATATACACACATATAATATATATACACACATATAATATATATACACACATAATATATATATATACACATATAATATATATATACACATATAATATATATATACACATATAATATATATATACACATATAATATATATATACACATATAATATGTATATGTATATATATATATATGTATATATATATATATATATATATATATATATATATATATATATATATATATATATAATATGCATAACGTACGTGTGTGTGTGTGTGTGTGTGTGTGTGTGTGTGTGTGTGTGTGTGTGTGTGTGTGTGTGTGTGTGTGTGTGTGTGTGTGTGTGTGTGTGTGTGTGTGTGTGTTTATGTGTGTTTATGTGTGTTTATGTGTGTTTATGTGTGTTTATGTGTGTTTATGTGTGTATATGTGTGTGTGTGTGTGTGTGTGTGTGTGTGTGTGTGTGTGTGTGTGTGTGTGTGTGTGTGTGTGTGTGTGTGTGTGTGTGTGTGTGTGTGTGTGTGTGTGTGAGATATATAATATAAATATAATATAAATATAATATAAATATAATATAAATATAATATAAATATAATATAAATACATATACACATATATACACACACATATATGTATATGTACAATATATATACAAATATCTATACACATATATATGTATATGTAGATATGTATATACATAAATAAATATATATATACATACATACATAAATATACATATATCTACATGCATATATATAGATGTATAGACACACAAATATATATCATTACATTACTCACTCACTCACTCACTCATTTACTCACTCACACACACACAGTATTTATACTTTTTTATGAACTTTCGATATGAATATTTAATATGCCTTCATGAGGGTGCATTTCTCAAATCATCATGCCCTTCTAATGCACTAATAAAATTCCTCCATTCACAACTAGTAAAAGCTGCAATTATCTATCTTTTGAAGTTATGAACTACAAAATTATTTATCTCATTATTTTTCAGTGTAGGATCTTGAAAATCAACCACACAGTAAACTAGACCAGCAAACTTCAATACTAAACAGCTGACATTATGAAACTACTGTAAATAGTTCTGGAACAAATTTAGACAACAAAAGAAATATTTCTCTTAAATAACCATTTTCTGGTTTCTATTCCTATTCACATTAACATGGACTAATGGTTTATTCCTAATCTATAACAATAGCTCAATTGCAAAATGCCATGACCATGCTAGCCTATGAATAGTTTTAACTATCCTATCCTGCTTAAATCTGAATTGGGTATAGGGAAACCATTAAAATGTTCTAAGCATTAACATAGGTATTTGTATGTATTTACTACAATACTTTTAGCAAATATGCCACCAAACTTTTTTTTTTTTTAAACATGAGCCATGGAATATATCTTTTACCCCAATCAAAATCATCATATCATCAGACAAACAGCAAAACTTAATGTCTTGTACCAAACCCTTCTTCAGTGATACATACATTCACTGTTAAAACTGCCAATGAAAAAGTTCAGTCCAAAGAGAAGGCAAAACTAATTTCTTGATAAACCCATCCAAATAGTCTTAATTCTTATCTGCTCATAGGCCTATATTAGATTGCAGGGTTCATCATGCAAGGTTCATCATGGCAATGATAAAATCCTTTCGTCTCCTAAATTAAGTTACTGCTATTGACAACTGACGGATCACAAACTTAGTGTAAAAAAAAATACACTTCTAAATAAGTCACATAAAATACAAAACATTTAAACACGTAAAAATAAAATCCACACTAAAAAGGACACAAAATAAAACAAGGGATTAATTTTGCATTAAAAACAAAAAACACCTTTAAAATATTCACTTGGGGACATCAAAAAAACGTTCTCTGGATAAAAAAAAAAAAAAGCGAGAGAGAGAAGAAAAAATAAAAGTTAATTAAGAGTAGTAATGGAGACACGTGCTCCGGGCTCTCTCCCTCTCACGCACTCCATCGCGTTCGGCTCCGAGTTCGAGTTCATCCTCTTCCGCTTCCGAACTGCAGACCCGCGGGTGTTTGTGGCTTTGAGCACGGCTTTGTGTCACGCCTCCTCCTCCGCCTCCTCTCTCCCTCGCTCTTGACACCTAGCACCTTCGCCTCGCGCTTTGGCACCAGCGGTCGTGTCAAGTGGGGGAGATGTGGCACCAGCGCCCCGGTGTCAATTAGGGAGATGTGGCACCGCCGCGACACCGCCTGTGCCACGTCTACAATAATTGGGCCGGAAAATGTACTCACCTACCGTATCTCCCTTTGAAATATCTACCTTTGGGCGGATGGGTCAAACCACCGCTTATAATTTCCCCCAGAGTATGAACGAGGACGACAAAACACACGAAAATAAGAAAGAGACTGAACTACCGAGCACCGTCGCCCTGCTTCGTGCGGTTGGCCATCCTCGACTGCAACCTTCTGGGTCTCGTCCCGATTTCAGCCCCTTTTTATTACGCTCCCATTCGCTCTTACATGCTCTGGTGAAGGGACAGACTAAAGAAGCCCCCAACCTTCCCAGCGAGCCGTAATAGAGCCCTATAGGAAATGTAGGTTAGCGTAATCTTAGGGAAGAAGAGGAGAGAGCACCTTGCCTCTCGTGTACATTAGATGCCGACGTCGGGCACCCATTGACTGAAGGCAGACCGGGACGAGGACCTCCGCTCATAGAGAATTACAAACGGAGATAAATACTCTTTTGTAGGTGCTTTTCCTCCGCATATGACTCTCTTACGATTACACATTTAATGATTAGCTGTCTCATTTTTTACTTTGGGCTTACTAAATTGTTATTGATAATCCAGTGTCGATAGTGTAGGATATTTTTCTCCACACTTCTACAGTCCGCATTGACCACGCTTCGAGGATGGTCACGTGACTTAAGCGCTGCGTTTAACTGGCTCTAAGGAAGTCGTTCTTTTAGTATTTTAGGTTTAATATATTTGACCAATCTTTTACTTAAATACCTATAAGGAGTTTAAAATCAAACCAATTGCATTTAAAGAAGTAATAAATAATATCACTTATGTTCTAATGGACTATCACCAAAAAAGGAAGATAAAAAAGACACATCAAATATCCTAATAGTACGGTTATTTACCCTGTGCGGGATCAATGCAAAATGGCAGGCGGTGAGTCTCGCTCGGCGTCTCGGAAACACAAACTTTGACAGAAACCCAAAGTCTCAATGAAGAAACGAACTTTAACCAGTGACCGAGTGATGTGCATATACCATAGATTCTAAAATGGCGAACCAATTTAAGTATGAGATTCTCAAAATATCAGTAGCAGAGATTTGCCAGACAATCGGGTTCCAAGGCATTTACTCAACCCCACTCGATGTTTTGGCCGATATTCTGCACAGATATATTTTCGAGGTCTGCAAGCTCACTCACAGATACACCGAGCACTGTAAGTAACGGCAATTAATTTTATTTTAAGTTTAAAATGTTTCTTTAAGAGATAAAGAGGTTTCATTGTCAGTAGAATGTCAGAATCTATAAATAGGCCTATCCAGCATCTTCAGCCAGAGGCGATTGTATGGTATTGTATTAATGATTTATGGTTGATGGAAGCGTTTACACTATTATTCAGTGAATATTGATGATGTATGTTTGGTATTGATATTTTTTAACCCATTAACAACAGACTCCTGTCTGAAATCTGGCCTATTTTGTTTAGAAAAGTAACAGAAATAACATAATTTTGAAATTTTGAAGTTCTCTGAGCACTAGGTACTTAGTATTTATATAGTCTATCTTAGTGTAAACCAAAAAAAAGTTACTAGTGATGGTCATGGAGAATGCATAAGATATCAAGGGCATAAATAATAACTTTCAAAGTATAAGGACAACAACTATTTAATCATAGTTCATCAATGTAATCACCAGCCTCAAGTATATTCTAGCAAGATAAGAGCTTGGAGACCTCCCTGACTGTTTATCATGAATTAGGGAACCAGTCCAAGCTCTGGTGGAGTTTTTTGCTCTGTTCTGCAGTATGAAATGGGAAGATACAATATTGATAGATTTAGTCTTATTCTGAATTATGACTAGATCAATAAAGGGTCATAATTGACACTTTAAGCTAATAAAGACCTGGTTTGTGGCTTTAATACAAACACTCATAGCATAGGATAATATAGGTGCCATTTTGAGGCAATTGGTTGACAAGCAATGCTATATGTAGGACTATGATTCACAAGTAATTTCAGTATTTTTACTAATTATGCCACCTATTTCCCACAAGTTAAACAGTAAATGAAACCAACAGATTGATGAAAACTCATTGTCTTTCAAGCTGTGTACAACCTGATGTTTGAAAATTCAGAAGCAGCTGTAGTAACTCATTGTGATGCAGATGCCAGATACTGTTAAAGAAGTACAGGTTATTGTACACCTGCATGCCATTTATTATCACACAAATCCATGTCTTATCATGCTCTAATATGTATATATATATATATATATATATATATATATATATATATATATATATATATATATATATATATATTATATTATATTATATTATATATATACATACACGTATATATGTGTGTGTGTGTGTGTATAGATATAGATGTATATATATACACATGTATGTATGTGTATATATATGTATGTGTGTGTGTGTGTGTGTGTGTGTATATATATATATATATATATATATATATATATATATATATATATATATATATATATATATATATATATATATATATATATATATTTATATAACATTTTATATATATATTGTGTATACATATAGATGGCTCCAAAAGTACTATTTCACGATGGAGTCAATTACTAGTCCCGCATGTCTCACCTACTTAGCCTTTTCTGTGACTTTCAGAAATATTCATGTTTACTGTTATATTTATATTAGTATTGTAATATTTAGTATTATAATAATCATAATTTCAGTAATAACAGCATCAGTATTAATAGCATTAAAAGAAAATACATTTTCCCCAAAAACTAAAGGTAAGGAGAAATCAGGTAGGATCACATAGGCCTACTAATTATCTTTTTGGTAGCAGTGCACTTGAGGAGCCTTCCATGTGTAAATACATTTCACAAAACAAAACCACTGTGGACAGTATATGTTCCTGGTAGCATTGGATTAATTATGTAAAGGGGAAAAATTATATGAAATCATTTGATTAATGAACTCACCTGTCTGAAATTAGCCTAATAATTCAGTTTCCCTCCAGATTGTGCAGTATCCGTGTAATATTTGAACTATGAACATGAAACGTGTCACTAGAGAAGAGTTGTCAGTTACCAATTCCTCACATGAATAGCTCCCTTCATGCCAGTTATTGCCCAGCAGTTAGGTTGCAATCTGTGAGGTACACAACACAAAGATTTATTTAAAACTTTCTATGCCTGAGAGGCTAAAAACAAGATGTAAGTACCCTTCGGTCATCATAATCATGACTATGTATGGTTTGTAGACCTTCCAGGTAATTTATTGTCAGATAAGGAATTAGTTCATGCTGTACAGAATATATGCTAGAATATACATGATGGTGGTTTTGTTAGCTATGCATGTAGAAAGTATCTATCACTAGATTTATTCACACACCCAAATGTTTTTTTTTTTTATATATACAATTTGGCATTTGAAGTCACAAAGATGTTTAAAAGTTCATTGGTCTATATATGATTTAAGGTTTTTTCGTTCTTTCTGTGACATATTTTTATGAAGGAAGTATGGATTGGAACAGTGGAGATGACAGATAATCAATATATTAATAAGTAAGAAGTGAAATGAATAAAAATAAGAAAAAGAAGTTAAAGAGAAACTAATTATGCATTCATCATCTGTAGAGGAGAAAGGATAGCATTCATCTTCTGTAGAGGACAAAGGATATTATCTTCATTTGTGCAATTCTGGTAGTGAAAACTGGTGTGCAGTAACCTCAGAGTTGGTCAGTTGGAGTTTCATTGGTTTAGGGATTATGATTAGATTGGTTAGATTGGATGTGCACTATCTTCTCTCCTCTTATTCTCTTCTAGTCGTTATCCTTCAGTCCTAGTTGTTTTCTCTTTCACTCTTTACTTCTTTCTCATTATATCAGTTTCTCATTCTTTTTCTCATTATTTTTTTTTCCTCTCTCTCCTTTTTATTATTTGATACTGTAGTTTGATTATTCAAATCTCCAAATCTCTCTCTCTCTCTCTCTCTCTCTCTCTCTCTCTCTCTCTCTCTCTCTCTCTCTCTCTCTCTCTCTCTCTCTCTCTCTCTCTCCTCTCTCTCTCTCTCTCTCTCTCTCTCTCTCCCTCTCTCCCTCTCTCTCTCCCTCTCCCTCTCCCTCTCTCTCTCTCAATATCTCTCTCTCTCTCTCTCTCTCTCTCTCTCTCTCTCTCTCTCTCTCTCTCTCTCTCTCTCTCTCTCTCTCTCTCTCTCTCTCTCTCCCTCTCTCCCTCTCTCTCTCCCTCTCCCTCTCCCTCTCTCTCTCTCAATATCTAGAGAATTCAAATATATGTGAGAAAAGTGTGGTAAAATTGAGTGTTAAGAATCTGACCCCTTTGCTACAATGTAAAATAAATTATGCCTGTAAATGTCACAAAATGTCATTAGGCATTGTTAATGATGCTGTGTACATTAGAAAGGAATTATAGTTATAATATGATTCTTTGTACTTGAAAATTTTCTTGCTAGTGATATATAGTTATATTAACCAGGTATCTGCACATGGACCAAAGTCCGGGCAATAGGCTTATTTGAGTGGTGACTCCACTGGTTATGTGGTTGTAGGCCCAGCTATAAATGTACTGGGAAAATATACAAAAATGTATATGTTTTGCAACCATACATGTGATAGAGAATTATGGCTTTATGCAAAACTGTAAAGATTAATTCACTCTCAGATTGATTTAAGATATTATATTATTGTTGATGAATGCTGTTTTAAGACTTCTTCTTTTTTGTGTGTGTGTGTGTGTGTGTGTGTGTGTGTGTGTCTGTGTAAATATTTCCCTAGTTCATACATTAATAAATTTTCCCTAATTATGTAATGACTACCTTTAGCATTTGAAGATAGGACCATCAATCTGACTGTTTTATTGTAATGACAGAAATGTTTGAAGTTTTATATTTACAGAATACAGATTGTTGAGTATTTGATACTTTACGTTGGTCTGAATATGAGGTAAAGAAAATGCAACCTTAAGTTTCTTAAAGAAGTATAAGGCAGTTGCTGGTTCTTTAATCATTGGACAGAAGACAAAATTTGTTGATATAAACATGTAATTCACTCAAACCAGGAATGCCTGTAAGTCAAGGCAAGATTTTCATGCAGAACCAAGCCCTCATCTAGCACATTGCCAGGCAACAAGTGTATTGCCCTTTATATGTCACGTCTGGGTAGATCACCCTTCGTGCCAGGATTACATCTCCACATCATGCACAGTTGCGTCTGCTCGAAGTGGTGCATACTAAACAGCTGTGGATATGTTTAGCAGTCATTGAAGAGAAACAGCCTCTCAAAAGCTTTGTTTTAACCTCATTTCCCTAAACAATCATTTATGCCACAGCCAAGAGCATGGGGAGTGGGGTGATTTTATATGTCCTGTGCCTCTGAGTTTGCTCTTGTCCAGTTGACTGTACATTCACCCAAACATGTGGTTCACTATGGTACCAGGGGCCTCTTGTCTTCAGTGGATTAAAAAGGAAATCGAGGGGAACAATTATTTCAGGCAAAGGCATAAGAATTGTTTTACCATTTATTCTAGCTCAGATCAGTGGTTGAACGTCTTAGCTGTAGCTCTATTTCCTACAGCAACTGGACAGCATAACTGTATTTGTTCTGAGCTGTTAAACTAATCAAACAAAGACTGGCAGATATGTTAGTGAGTATCTTTACATTTTGCAAAGGAGGTTTTAGAGAATGTCACAGCATAATGTTTTATTGGTTATTTCTATTGTCTGTTGGATTTACATAAAAGTGGCTTAACTCTCAGTAATGCAGGGTTTCTATCATATACAGGCAAGATTGAATGACTTAACAGGAAGTTTATTATTTAATGTACTTTGTAGATTAAGTTAGCACTATATAATGTGTGTCGTGGAGAATTTCCCATATAGCCTGTGTCCAGAGAACTTCTTGACATTCTGTTTTCTTTTTCCTGGTACATCATAGCCCATGTTTTGTCCACACTTCTCATGCTTCTTGATCCTCTGTGAGAAAGTGCAGGTAAGGGTTTCAAGCATTTATTGTGTGAATGTTTTGACTCCTGTACATTCATATATATCCTGTCTGTTTCTCTCAGTAGCTCTCTCTCTCTCTCTCTCTCTCTCTCTCTCTCTCTCTCTCTCTCTCTCTCTCTCTCTCTCTCTCTCTCTCTCTCTCTATATATATATATATATATATATATATATATATATATATATATATATAATGTCAGTCTCTGTTTCTCCTTCTCTTTCATATTTATATTTCCCATTTTCTGGCCCATCTTTATCAATTTTTATCTCTTTCTCTTTCAGTGCATTATTTTGTGTATGTGTCAGTTATTTCAATTACCTTTTTTATTATTATTATTATTTTCTTCTTTTTTTTTCATTGTCTCTCCATCTAGTCCGTGATCATAAAACCTCATAACTCAATGGCACACCCTTTCCTCCCCCCCATAGTTGGCCGATCAGAGCCCAACCTCGATGACCTCGGCCTCGCCTTCCTTGACATGGGGATATCCGTGGCGGAGCTGGAGGAGTATGTGAACAACGTAGACTGCCCTCCCTTCCCGAACACGGTCCCCAAGATCCCGGTCCCAAGGACTTCTAACTTGAACTTCCTGAAGCCCGGCGCAAGGGAGATCCTCTCGCGACCCATACACATCCACGAACATCTCCCACCCATGTACCCCGAGAAGGAAGGTAAGGGGGGGGAAAAAACGGAGCTTCTGTTTGTTTGAGTTGTATTTATTTATTCCTCCATTTTGTTCGCATTTTTTATTTGTTTTATCGATTAGGAGTCGTAGGATTGCTTTGGTATTCGTTATCTATCTGCTTTTGATCGCTTTCCCTTCTCGTTTGCAGTATGTTCTTACTTCTTTCTCTCTCCGTCTCTGCTTCATTCGTGCTCCTTTTCATCTTATCTCGATCCTTCTCACTGTAGTTGGGTTTCACTTTGGCTGCCTTTCTTTTTCGTTCCTGCTGTATCTCTGTTTAATTCTCACTCATTCTGTATTGTTTTTTCCATTTCATTCTCTCTCTGTCTTTATTTCAATATCTTTCTAAATATAATCTGTCATTAATGCTCAAGTCTCTATTTCATTTTCATTTCATTCTCACCCTAGTTCTGTTTCACTTGATCTCAGTGTCTTCAGTCTCTTTTACTCTCAAACATTATCTCTCTGTTCTCTTAGTTTTTACACTTCCTGGCTCAGTGTTATTTTTCCCCCTCTCTCTTTTTCTTTTTTCTTTTTTTTATAACAAGAAAGATATCTTTGGGGATAATTTGGAGAAAAAATATAATAGCCAAATAATAAGTTTCATTATCAGGTTGTTTCTCATAAGGCAAGGAAGTCTAATGTAAATCATTGCAGAAAATAAAGATATAAAGATGAGTTAGTTCATTGACATTTCCAGCTCTTTAGAATTTCATAGTAGTTCAGAATCTGTTGGACTGAATAAAAGGTCATGGCTTTTTGGCTCAGTTGCCTTTGTAGTTTGTTTTAAGAAGTTCCCTGTTATATTTCTAACTTAAAGTGATTGTTGTTTTGTATACAGGATGAAAATTTTGTCTGGGTTCTCATCTCTCGCATTATCTTTTTTTGTATATAAAGTTTCTCTGTCTCTTGTCTTTGCATTTCTCTCTCTCTCTCTCTCTCTCTCTCTCTCTCTCTCTCTCTCTCTCTCTCTCTCTCTCTCTCTCTCTCTCTCTCTCTCTCTCTCTCATTCTCTCTCTCATTCTCTCTCTCATTCTCTCTCTCATTCTCTCTCTCTCTCTCTCTCTCTCTCTCTCTCTCTCTCTCTCTCTCTCTCTCTCTCTCTCTCTCATTCTCTCTCTCATTCTCTCTCTCATTCTCCTCTCTCTCTCTCTCTCCTCTCTCTCTCTCTCTCTCTCTCTCTCTCTCTCTCTCTCTCTCTCTCTCATTCTCCTCTCTCTCTCTCATTCTCCCTCTCTCTCTCTCTCTCTCTCTCTCTCTCTCTCTCTCTCTCTCTCTCTCTCTCTCTCTCTCTCTCTCTCTCTCTCTCTCTCTCTCTCTCTCTCTCTCTCTCTCTCTCTCTCTCTCTCTCTCTCTCTCTCTCTTACACTTCCTTTCCCCTTCCTTTCCTCTTTAACCCCAACTCCTGCCTCCCTCTTTCTAATACCATAATAAAGTAGTACATTGATTGCTGGCCAATTCTCAACAGAGGAGGAAGTGGACATGAAGGTGAACACGAGCCTGGACGATGTGCTTGGAGAAGGGTCATCCTCTCCAATGGCCTCCCCGCAGCCTGCAGCCAAGAGGTCGTCCGACAGTGATGTATCACCAGCCAAGAAGCCAAAGTGAGGATTTGACATTGTTCAATGATGTGTTTCTCTAAATTTCCTTTTGCACCCTAGCACGCACGCACATACGCGCACACACACACACTCACACACACACGCTCACACACACACGCTCACACACACACACTCACACACACACACACTCACACACACACACTCACACACACACACTCACACACACACACACACACTCACACACACACACTCACACACACACACACACACACACACACACACACACACACACACACACACACACACACACACACACACACAAATGGAATTGGTGTCATGAGAGCTCTAATTTTTGGTTGCAGAAATGTTTCCACTTGCTCTTTTTCCACCTTCTAGGTCTTGGATAGTTTCATACTTTTGCCCTTAGATACATTTTCATAGTTTACATAGTGTTTCATGATGATTGCTTGGCATCTTACAAGCCAGAGGTAGATTTTTACATATATCATGGGAGGCTTTCATAGCACATGGCACAAGAGATGAAAGGGCTCCCTAAAAATTAACTAGGAGGAATGCTTGAACTAGCAGATGTGGGTGTGGATTTGTCCTAGTAGATCATGGCATCAGACAAATAAGTAACTTCACGTGGCATATGACTTGACTTTCTGCTGTGTGTCATTGTGTTTACATAATGTTGCCACTCATTCACCTCGCACCATTAGACTGCTTTAAGACTTTCTGCTGCAGTCATTGTGGTTACTTATGGCCACCCATTTAGTGGCATTAAATTGTTTTTGTGATATTGATTAATAAATTGCATTACTGGTTCAGATACAAATACTTGCTACTCGAGGAGGCTGTTTATTATTCTATTTGCTTATGCGTTTGTGTATTTATGTACTATTTTATTTCTTTGCACATCCTCTAATCATTTCCCTGCTTTGCCTAGGTACTCCCTAGATGATGAGGGGCAGCCCGTCCGAGAGATCGTCAGTGTGATGATGACGACATCCGGCTTCATATCTTCTGCTCGTGAGGGCAAGCTCCCCGAGTCCAAAGTGCCCAACATCCCCATGGCAACACCCAGGAGCTCTTCGCCCTCAGCTGCCAGTGCTCTTAGCAAGAAAAAGCTTGCTGTGGAGAAGTTGATCCGGCAGAAGAACAACCAAGGTGGCCTGCAGAAGCCTCCCCCCTCCAAGTCACGTCCCACCAAGGACAAAGGCCCCTCCAAACCTGGCAGTAAGCCTATGAAGGTGCTCAAGATACCCAAAATGCCCAAAATCCCCAAGATACCCCAGGTGAAGCCTGGCTCCTCTATGCCCCAGCCATCCCCTGCAAACACACCCCTGGCTGCCAGCACCCCAGGGCCCCCAGTGTCCCAGGGAGCAGCTGCTCCTCTGCCTACACCACCCAAGCTAAAGATGCCTACGCCTAAAATCAGAGTGCCCAAGCCCCCAAAGACACCCAAGTCTGAGACCAAGAAGGGCTCATCCACACCCAAGGCAAAGGACACAAACAAGGACTCTGAGACAAAGAAGTCCAAGAAGGAGAAGGATGCAGCCAAGAAGAAGGAGAATGGTAAGGACAAGGAGGCAGGCAAGAAGGGCAAGGAGAGCAAAAAGGAGAAGGAAGGGAAGAAGGAGAAGGAGCCCAAAAAGGAGAAAGAGTCCAAGAAGGAGAACAAGAAGGAAAAAGAAAAGGAGCGTGAACGAGAACGTGAGCTAATTTTGGCTCTGGCAGCCTCTGCAGATGTGACCGTTACATCCATTCCCCCACCAGCCAAGTCACAGGAGGCCCCCCCAGACAAGTTGAGTATCTTCAAGAAGATCAAGCCCAAAGGGGAGGCCAAGGAAGCTGATCGGACAGGTGAACGTGAAGTGCACCCGTCACGTGACAGCTCTCCAGACCTCATGATAGATGAAAACCCTCGGATGGCCCAGCGGAGACCGCCTGAGGACTTGGTCGTCCTGGACAACCCTGTGCCTGCACTAGATGCCTCCATGGATGAGCTGGATTGCTCACCTGGAGACTTCCCTTCCTACCAGGATGACATGTCCCCACCAGGCACACCCTCCACGCCCCGTACCCCAGAGCTGCCCCAGCTGGCTGTTCGCAAAACACCTGAGAAGTGGAAGGGCAAGGAGCGTGGCAGAGAGAGACGTCCCAAGAAGGACCGTTCTAAGTCACCCAAGTGTGGCTTCAGTCCTGGCCGAAGGGAGCACTCGGCCTCAGAAAGTGAGACACCTGACCGCCCCAAGACGCCTGAGGTGGGGCTGCCCTTGGACAGCCTGGGTCCCCCCTCCACCTCCACCCCATTCTCATTGCCCCCCTTCCCCAATGCACCTGGCTTTATTCCCCCTTTCTCTCGCTTCCCTTTCATCCCTCCCTATGGTGGTCCCCCAATACGGCCGGGCATCCCCCCAATACCAGACCTACGGCTACCACCCCACACCTTCTTACACAGACTGGCAGCACCGGGCAGCAAGCGGCCATTGGATGACGATCACTTAGGCCTGGATGAGCCAGAACCCTTAGAGCGCCCCCTCACCCCTAGGCATGACAGGGACTTCAGTCCTCTGCCACCCCCTGGGCATCCCTCCCCCCTACGCTCACCCTCACCTACACAGTCGTCCGCAACACCACCTAGGCCACGCACCCCAGCCCACCATTCCCCACCCCCACTTATCAAAGTCAAGCCAGAGAAACCAGAGAAGTCAGAAAAGGAGAAGGTGAGTAATCGAGAAAAGGTCCTTTGGTTTGCATGGGAAATTTGTTTCTTATGCCTGTGTAACACTTTTACTAAAGGTCCTTAACCCATAAACTGCAGAGTGCCTGTTAGGGGCATATTTGGTAATGTGGATGTGCATTGTAAAAGATCACTCCAGCTCTTCATGATTGCAGCAAGGGAAATGTGATTCACTGCAAATAAAGGAAGTGAATCACTGTTAGACAGAGACCTTTAGCAACATACAGTGCCAGCATAAAAAAAAATAAAAGTTTTAAATCAAGCAGCACATTATTTTCTCTTGGAAACTGTTCTTAATAGCTGTACGGTAATCAAAGAATTTGAGTTAATATGGTATATGCAGGTCTAACTTCTAATATCTGGCACCTTTGGCACCAAACTCTTGCTGTACTGGATATTTTTGGTTTACAGAATTTTGTGATCAAAAATATATCTTTTGTTATTGTTGTCACTCACTGTTAGCCAAAACGATTAGAGAAAGTATGCATTTATCAGGAAAAAATGAAAGCAACCAAGCATAAAAAGAACAGATAAATATGTTGGGAGTTGCTAAATATTCTGAGAATCATTTTGTTTTTCCATGTTTAAATAACATTATGTATTTAAGGATCTTGAAAAGTTCATGGACTTCACTAAACTTGTGTTTGCATTTCCCCTCACAGAAGAAGGAACACAAGAAGGAGAAGAAGGAGAAGGACAAAGAGAAGGACAAAGACAAGGAGAAAGAAAAAGACAAAGCCAAGAAAAAGAAGGACAAGAAAGACAAGGACAAGGAGAAGGACAAACTAGACAAGAAGAAGGAGAAAGAGAAGATGAAGACGGAGAAAAAGGAGAAGAAAAAGTGCAAGAAGGAGAAGGAGGAAGCTGCCCCAAGACTCACCATGAAACTTGGGGGGGCCAGCTCTCCCATGCGCACCCCTGCCTCCCAGGCCCCGGCTGCAGAAGCCAGCACGCCCAAACTGTGAGTAGATGGAGACTGCCGTTCTAGTGTGGTTGACTTTGATGTAGCCTCACTTTTTATATTTTATTTTATTTATTTATTTATTTTGTATTTATTTATTTATTTATTATTGTTGTGATTTTTTTTTTTTTTATCATTATTTTTTATGTAGGGGTGTTTTCTCTCTCTCTCTCTCTCTCTCTCTCTCTCTCTCTCTCTCTCTCTCTCTCTCTCTCTCTCTCTCTCTCTCTCTCTCTCTCTCTCTCTCTCTCTTTTTCTCTCCCTCTCTCCCTCTCTCCCTCTCCCCTCTCCCTCCCCCTCCCTCTCATTATCTTTTTTTCTTATATCTTTCTCTTGTATTGTCCCATGTCTCAATGTGTGGTTATGTTAATTTGGTCAGATTTTTGTCTTTCATGTGTTAGGATATTCTTGATGATTGAATTCTTACTATTGTTTACATTACATGATAAGATTAATGATGATGATTGTGATAATGATAATGGTAATAATTGTTATTATTATTATTATTTTATTTGTTATTATTATTATTACATTTATTATTATTATTAATTTTATTTTTATTGTTATTGTTTGCTGGTGTTGTTTTTTGTTTTTTTTCTTTTTTGTTTTTCCTCTCTCTTTTTTTTTAATAATGATGACTAGTTCTACTCATCCCTTTATTGTTGATACTGTTGTCTTTTTCTTGTTCTCCTTGTTGTTTT